CGGTGCCTCGGTCCTCCGCGGAGCCGCAGCGGCGCCCCGACTGCAGCGCTGCGAGCGCGGGGTCCTGCAGACCCGCCTCTGCTGCGTCTCGCCCGCCGGCCAGGCAGGCTCCCCCCATTTGTCAAATCTGGTTCCTCCTGGGGGCGCACGACGGGAGATACGCCCACCTAGGTCTGCGCGGCCCAGCTCAGGGAAGCCGAGGTGTGGGGGGTGGGGAGCATGCGGGAGCAGGGCGCTTGGGGGCGGGGCTGGGGTCCCCACTCACCTCGGCTGTTGGCGTAGAGGACACCCAGGGTCACTAGGGCTCCGGCCACCAGGAGCAGCAGTAGGAGCAGTCCCCCTTCTAGGAAGCCGCGGTCCTTCTGCCCTGCCGTGCTGGCTCGCTCCACCATCTCCATCTGGCTCTCGGACTTGTCCATCACCGGGGCTCTAGGCAAGCGAGTGCACAGCTGAGCACCCGGAGGTCAAGGGCAGGCGCTGAGTCCTGCCCAGATCAGGGAGAAGCCCGCAGCCCTGGTGGCCAGACACCCGGCTCCTCTGGGTCTCAAGCTCCAGGGGCCCCCGGGGCTGGGAAACTAACCCTGGCCCTGGTCTCTGGGAGGCTGCCCTGGGGATGGGGGCAGGCCTGGGGATCATAGTGATTTCTTCCTGCTGCCCTGTCCCTGTCCCCGTCCACCCTCTGACAGCTGTGGTCGTCAGTGTTGGATCTACACACTGAACCCAGCCGGAGGAGCTCCCTGGCCTGATTAGGGCAGGGGTCCTGGAGCGGCAGTTCTGGGAGCCAGGTGAAGGGGCACTGCCTGAGAGGTGGCTTGGGCCACTGGGTTTCCTGTCTGCCTCTCCTGCCTGGAGCCTGGGGACCAACGAGAGAGTTGGTGAGAATGCAGGTGCCCATGCAGGCTGGGGCAGGGCCAGGGGGCCTGTTCAGCAGGGCTTGGTTGGCCTGTAGCTCCTGTCACCTGCCTTGTCTGTCATTATGAAGGGATGCCTTCTTGAGCCAACCAGGTGGTTGGCAGCATCCGGGGGGCCTTGAGGGACCAGGGGAGGCCTGACGACAGGGCCCACAGATTCTGAGGGCCCAGATCTGCCTGGCCTGCTGTGTGCGTGTGTGTAAGTTTATATGTGCATGTGAATATGAATGTGTGTGTGCCTGTATGTGTATGTTCAAGTGCATGCATAGGACAGTGTGTAGGTCCATGCGTGTGCATATGAACATGCACGTATGTGATGCCTTTGCTGGCGCTCAGAGCCAGGCCCCAGAATCTGTGTGGACACATGGGACAAGCTGGGCGTCTCCCTTGGACTTTAGGCTTCTGACCCTCACCCACTTGGAGTTGAGCCCGTATCTGGCCCAGTGCACAGGGGCTAAGAAAGAGAGATGTCTCACCCTTGGGGGTAAACCACCATTGGGCCCAAACCATCCTAACTTTTCCAGCTCCGTGGTCTCTGGCCCAGTTCCGGCCCCCACTCACCATGCCGTAGCTGTCTGCTACGACTTACCAGGAAGCTCCCCCTGCTCCTGTGACAAGCTGTAATAGACCCGATGGCAGTGTGTGGGCTTGGCTGACCTCAGGACTCTGCAGAGCATCCCATCTCTTACTCTGCATGCCCACCCTCCCGCCTGCTTCTCTGGGCATTGCCATCAACCTGGGCATGACCAAGCAGCCCATCAGGAGCCTGAGCTTCAGGGAGCAGAGATGGCCCAGCCTGCTAGTCTCAGGGATCAGACCCAGTCTCAGCTGTCTGTGCCAGGCTGTAGGCCATTCCTGTCCTGGCCACTCAGGTCCTGTGGACAGACTCTGGGCCCTGCAGGCCCTGCGAGGTGCTGAAGTAGCCCCAAGCCGGAGGGTGGCAGCAGCCCTAATGTCCTGCTGGCCAGGGGCAAACTGGAGGAACCAGGCACAACCCATTGGCGCCACCTGTTGGTGCCTGCTGTTTTTTCTCATCTCTCCTCCATCTCGCTCCCTCGCTCTGTCTTCTGCTTCCTTTGTTCTGTCTCCTCTGCAGTTTGGGAGGCAGGAAGGGTGGCTGGAGACTCATAAGCCACAAGCCACAACTCTCCCCTCAGGGTTGGGCACTGTGAGGTCCACTGCCAGAGCATCGGTTCTCTGGTCTCTGTCTCCCCACTCTCTGCTCTCCAGCCTGGGTATCCAACACCCCCCCACCCCCCCGCCCTCAGGGCAGTTACATACATGAGCTTCTGGGCTTTGGCATCTCCTCTTGGATCCACTGGGAGCCTGGGAGCCCTCCTCAACTCCTGTCCCACCCTCCTGATGGTCCCGGGACAATCCTGCCCTCCACCATCCTTTCAGGGGCCTCGGGCCACCCACATTTCCCTTAGCTTCACCAGCCTCAGAATACCATGGGTCTGACCCTCCAAACTCCTCTGCCACTCACGGCCACCAAGTGGGCCACCTTCTGTGTTGGACCCGAGAGCTCCCAGCGGGACTTCTGTTTCCACAGCTCCTGACAGCAGCTGTCCTGTGGAGGGTCCTTGAGCCCTGAAGCCACAGGCTTTCTCCTAGCTCAACCCTCCTCCTTCGGGGCTCTCAGGCCTCTTGGAGAAGTTAGACCTGGCTGACCTCAGGAAAGGCGCCCTGGTGGCCCTGTCCTGCAAGCTTTGGACTGCTACCCACAGGGTCAGTGGTTCAAACCGACCAGCAGCTCGGCGGAAGAAAGAGGAAGCGCTCTGCTCCTGTAACGAGTTGGAATCCACTGGGTGGCAGTGAGTGGGCTCGGCTCCTCTCAGGCCTCAACAGAGCTCCCCTTCTCTCCCTGTGGGGGTGCACGCCCACCCGCTCGCCCCTGGACAGTCCCTCCTTGGAGGTTTCATGCTGCGGGTCTGCCTCATCAGGATCCCTGCCCCAGACCCCCTCATCTGTGCCCTTGCCCCAGGTCACCATCTCAACGAGGCCTTCCTAGAACCCCACCCCCCACATAACCGCCTGCCTGCAGCCACCCTGCCCCTCCCGCCTGCTCTCTGCCTCACCGTGCCACATGGCTCATTTGTCTGATTAGCCGACAGACCTCCCTGTGAGTTGCCCACCGCGCCGGCTGCATCAGTCCGTACTTGCTGAATCAGTCTTGAGTGAATGAAGGACTCATCGAGTGAATGAGCGAATGCACATAGGAAAGCAGGCAGGGCTCCAGTGGCTGAATGAACTATCTCCGCCCTCATCTGAGTCTGGCCCTGCCGGCTCGGCTCCCTGGGGCTTGACGGGACAAAAAGGCCCATGGGCAACCCAAGGCTTGAGGAGGAGCCCAGAGTCAGGGGCCGGGAGGGGCAGGGAGGGGTGGTCCCCGAGGGAGACCCTGTGAGAAAGAAGTCATCGGGCTGGTCCATCTTCAGCCACCAGGGAGCAGAGGGTCAAGGAGGCACTAAGTAGCCCGGACCCCAGTAGAAAGCAGAAGTGACAGTCACTAGAGCCCAGGTCCTAGGTGGGTGGGGACTAGGTGTACTAAGAAAGGGGGAGGAGAAACTTAAAGAAGTAGGATGAAGAAAATAAAACATAGAAAGAGGCTTTTGAAAATAATGATGGCAATGTATGTACAGATGCGCTTGATATGCTGGATGTATGGATTGGTATAAGAGCTGCAAGAGCCCCCATTAAATGCAGGTTGGATTTCCTGAGTGTTATCGGTGAAACTCCCCCCCCCCTCCCCAGTAGCCCATTGGTATCCTCGTATGGGACAAGGTGGTGCGCCCCAGTTCTCTCTCCAGAGACCCATCAGGGTACGGTCTGAGTCAGGCGTCTATACTGATCCCTCAGTTACCAAGAGGAACCGATCTGGGGTCCGGGATCTCGACAGTGTTTCTCACAACCCTGGCGCTTCTGTGTCTGCATACGTGGGACTGGGATGGGGGCTACCTGCCAGTACAGGTGAGGCTGTCCTCACGTGCCCCATTCACTCCCGCTGGGAAATGGTGCCACTGTGGAAGCAGGCCAGCTGTCCCTTGGCCCCCCACTCTGCTCTGTGTGGCTCACCTGCAGGGCCACTCAAGAGTACCCCCCACTGGAGGGCAGGTCCCTGAAGACTGGGGTTCCTCAGAAGGCCGAGTGAGTTGGGTCAGGCAGGCGGGCTCCCAGGAAGGCCAGGGACAAGCTTCAGGCAAGCCCTGCTGCTCCTTCAAGACTGGCCGGAACCAGGCTCTGGGTTCCATTGTGATACAGTCAAGGGCTCCCTGGGGGCTGTGACCTTCCTGTTCAGTCTGGGAGTTCCATTTGGGATTGGGGTGGGGGAGGGTACTCAGGCTTTCTGCTGGAAGGCAGGTTAGCCCGGGTGCTTGCTATCTATGTGTGTGGGGTGGGGGGCCCTCTGGCTCTGCCTCACGGCCCTCTCCTGATTGGCTTCTGCTCTTGTCTCCTGGCCCCTCAGTCCACAAGGCCACAGAGGCTGCTGGGGAGGAAGGCCAGACACCCACCCCGAACGCCTTTCCAAATCTGAGATGGGACTGGAGACCACACAGGTCCCACACAGGTGAGTACTAGGGCACGGAGTGAGGGGGCTTCTCAGGGAGAGTCCCTGCCCAGGGACATCTATGTGGTTAGCAGCCAGCCTAGGGGTTAGCTGCTTCTCTGCCCTTGGGGATCCCTTGGGGCTCTGACGCCAATTCCAGGGACCAGGTGCCCCTGTGCCTGAAGGGGACCGGAGCCAGGAGAGGGGTTCTAGGTGTGAAGACGTAGTCTAATGTTTCCAGGTGAGGACTAGGCCACGAGGGCATCCCAGCAAGGATGGGCGTGGAAGGTGATGGGGGCCCTAGACCAAGCGAGTGCCTCCTCAGTGTCCGGCACTTCTGCTTCAGGCTGGCCCGATGACAGCCCGGTTCTGTGCCAGAATCCCATGGGACCAGCTGTCCCGCCCTGCTTTCTGTAGCCCTTTAAGGCTGAGTCACAGGGTTGGGGCCCTGGAGCCAACAACCTATGACAGCCTTCTAATCTGAAGATTCCTCCCACCCCCTGCATGGTCCTATAAGAAGCGTCCAGTCCATGCTCAGGGGATCCCTTGAGCTAACCATGCCCTCCAGCTGCAGCTCAGGGTCAGGGACTTGGCACCTAGAGATGGCCATCTGCCCCCTAGGGTGGGCCAGTGACTCAGCTCCTGATGGGGGCAAAGAGAGAAGGGTGACTCTCTCTGATCAGTTCTGGGGCCCGGAGCTATCCAGAGAGCTGGTATTGGCCCTCATCCCCCCAAGCCCCTGCCCTTGACTGCCATCCCAGTCCTTCCCTGCTCCCTCAGTCAATGTCCAACCAACCCTCCACCTTGCATCTAGTCCAGGAGCACCCTGCGGGCCTGTGCATTGGGCTGGGGCTGGTGGGGTCCAGGGCTTTCCCTGCGGTCTGCTGGGCCGTACTCCCTCTGGAAGAAGCATGGGTCACCTTTTCGGAGAGACAGAAGAAGGTACTAGGCCAGAAGCGGT